TCACTTACAATCACCGGAATTCACTTTGAAGATATCATAATTCGCCCGTAAAATCGTCCTTTTTACTTTTATTTTTCATTAATCAAGTACGAACAATCCAAACCATTAGACAAAATTCGAAGTCCTAAAAAACGGTATAGGCAAAATAGTGTAATCAGCATATGGACTGTTCACCGTGTACAAAATACACGACAAACAGTGGTAACAGGTGTCCGGAAGAGTAAGCTTACCCTCTGCCTGGCGCCACATTACCCGCCACAGCTGCATACAAAACATAAGACGAAATCTCGGTAAAATAGCGTGATTGGCCAATTCACTTTCAACATATCGGAATTCGCACTTAAGACATTCGTATTTACTGATATTTTACATTAATAATAAAAATATTAAGATAAGATAAATTTGATTGCAGAAAAACGCCCACGGGGAGCAGCATACAACTACATAAATTACATTAATATATACAGTACAACAAATATACATGTAACATAGAAAGGAACGTATGGATAAAACTACTTCCAGGAAAACAGAACACAGTTTTTATGGGAAACAATCACTGGTTTATTCTAAAAGCACAACGTTTTAACACCTCTTATCGTTATTGTGTTTGATAATGATAAGAAATGAAATGAAATGGGGTTTGACGTCCTACTGTTCTGCTCCTATACTGGGCTAATGAAGACGGGCATGCGTCATACAGTGTGCTATGAGGGAAATTTAGCCCGGGCAGCGACACTATCGCCTACTCTTATATCGAATTCCAACTGCCAAGGGATCTTTTACGTGCATTCGAATGTATACACGGGACCTCGGTTTTTCGTATCGTCCGAAGGATTAGACAGCTGTCCTTGTCAGGCCCTCCGTTCTGCACCACTGACAAGGGGAAACCACGTCGGAAAATCCAAATGAACTTTCTCGGCCAATGCAGGGATCGAACACCCGACCTCCAGGCTAGCGAGGATAACGATAAGAGGTGTTAAAACGTTGTGCTTTTAGAATAAACCAGTGATTGTTTCCCATAAAAACTGTGTTCTGTTGATGTGTTTCCCAATCGCTAAATGCCACTTAAAGATTACTTCAATGTAGGAGGCAATGCATTTGATGGTGTATGGAGAGGTGGTTTGTTTAACAAACTGCAATCTTTATGTGTAATTGGATTGCTTTAAATGAAATGAAACGGGGTTTAACTTCATACTGTTCTGCTACGACTGGTTCAAATGAAGATGGGGGATTGCTATAGAATAGAATATAATAGAATTTTAATGCATCAAAACGTCCTTTGAGGACAGCATACAATATACAAAAAATAAAATAGAAGTACAGAAATTATGGACGGACACAAATTCAGAACACTCATATAATCAGGTAGTGTAAAACCCTCATATGATTGTCTGAAAAGTATGTTTTCTAATAGTAACCTTCGTGTCACAGCTGGTCTCAGTGATCAATATATACACATGATCTTGGGGTCATGCAAGGAATTAACCTGGGTCCCCTTTTATTTAATATGGGGGATCACGTGGCTAAGTGGGTAAGACGCTGGCTGATCGCTAGCCTGGAGGTCGGGTGTTCGATCACTGCATTGGCCGAGAAAGTTCATCCAGATTTTCCCGCGTGGTTTCCCTTGTCAGTGATGCAGGACGGAGGGCCTGACAAGGACAGCTGTCTAGTCGTTCGGATGTACGAAAAACCGAGGTCCCGTGTACATTTGGCGTGCACGTAAAAGATCCCTTGGCAGTTGGAATTCGATATAAGAGTAGGCCGTAGCGCCGCTGCCCGGGCAAAATTTCCCTCATAGCACACTGTATGGCGTATGCCCGTCTTCATTAGCCCAGTTTAGGAGCAGAACAGTAGGACGTTAAACCCCATTTGATTTCATTTCATTTTATTTAATATAGTCATAGATCAATTACCCGCAATCTCAGTTATTAAATAGCGACGTTTCGTAACCCATTGGCAGAGATAGTTCATCGGGATTTTGCGACGTGGTTTCCTCTTGTCAGTGGTGCATGGCTGAGGGCCAGACAAAGATATATATCTGTCTAGTTGTGACGAAAAATCGAGGTCCCGTGTATACATTGGCGTGAAAATAAAAGATCCCTTGCAGGGCCGTATCTAGCGGGGTGCAGGTGGTACATTTCACCCCGTGAAAAATAACCCACTTGATTATGATCACACAGTAATGCTCTTAAGGCACTGATCAGTCGATCAGTTTTAAGTGCGCCCACACGCCAATGGGTTCGTTTGCCCTGATCCAAACTTTCTTATATCACATACGTGGAGGCTATGGCGCCCCACCACTCTGCCGCACCCCTGCTTTTAAAATCCTACATACGGCCCTGATCCCTTGGCAGATGGAATTAGATATAAGAGTAGGCAGTAGTGCAGCTGTCCGGGCAAAATTCCCCTCATTCCCTAATAGCACAGTGTATGACGTACGCCCAACCCAGTTCGGAGCAGAACAGTATATATAGGATGTTAAACCCCATTTCATTTCATTTCGTTTTGTAACACATGCAGGTAATCTTAATGTCAAAAGTCGAAGTTTTCTCAGTGATGAATTTATAAATGATCTTGGGGTCATGCAAGGAATAGTGCCCTATTATTTAATATATTCATAGATGAATTACCCGAAATTTTGGTGAACAATCTACTCACCTAGTTGCCTAGGCGATAAACCAATTCCAGCTCTATTGTGTACAAATGTACAGATGATATTATTATATATCCCGTAACTTCCAGTGGGGGTTGGGTGGCCGAATGGTTAGCACGTGTGCGCTGTATCATAAGGTCTGTCATTGAGTCAACTGGCGTGGTTTCGACTCTTCGGTTTGTACGCGACAAGGAGTACGGTCGCCTGTCCAATCTCGTAGGTTTTCTCCGGGTCCTTCGGTTTCCTCCCACTGCTAAAGAACCCTACGCGCAAACGAATTATGGAAATAAAATTGAACCATATGTTAGTCCCGAAATGACCTAGTTTATGTCGAATGGACGTTAAACCCCATCTCTCTCTCTCTCTCTCTTAGTTGATTGGATTCGGGCCTCAGTAAGTCAAATTGACAATATTTTTCCATCAAAACGACGATTGATTATTGTTATTTATAATATTTATGCCACATCCAACTACAATTTAGCAGATAATCCTACCTCAAACGGGTAATACTATTTGCGGTTAATGATTTAATTTAAAAATGGATAATCGAGACCTTGTTTATCATCATAACAACGATGGCCGTGACAATCGTGACTACGCTGTTCTGCAATCGACGGGTGAAGTGAAAACAAAACTTATTATTTCATCTAGTTGGCAACACAAGGTGCCCGAAATCTAATAAAACACTAATTTTACTTTTCTTTTAATTGAATACCGCGAATTTGTAATGAATTGACCATAGATTAAAACATTTTGTCTGGAGCCATTCTACTTTGTGCGACATTTTTCGGGAATCGATTATTATTTGTGAATGCAGCTGCAACAGTCTGATTGGATGGTTAGAATTATGGTCGGCATGGAGCGTGATTTCGGTTGCAAACCGATTGGAAACTTTGAAGTTGCTTAATAGCAGTAATACGCATTTTCAAAATTTTCTCGGGGAGCGAGAGGTCCTCATACCCCGCGACGATTGATTGCTTGTTTGGGATTTGGGGTTTGGGATTCCGGTAAGACAATTAAGGTAGGCTATATTGGACGACTTTGAAGTTGCTGTATTCACGGGCTGGAATAGTAGGAAAACGCGTTTGCGACCGTCAAATTTTTTTTCCTTTAGGAGCTAAGGGGGGGGGGGGGGGCGAGGGGGTTCCTACACAGTAAGCTCCGCTCCTTCGCCTCTCGCAGACAACCGGCCCCGCCGTCTGTAATCCGAATTTTTCCGGGAATTTCAGGTTCTGCGCCCACCCCACCCGTAACATTCATCAAGCACGGGACCATTTTATGTATAAATAATAATATCTGATATTTCTAAGTTTATCATGGTAAGGCGACACCAGTGAAATACCCTTCATAAAAGGCTTCTGGTTATTCAAAAATTTAAAATTCACGTCATGATTCAAGTACATGTATATAAATAATGAATAACACCAACCATACATTTATCGTTGATGTTATATATACGTATACGAAATGAAATGAAATGGGGTTTAACGTCCTACTGTTTTGCTCCGAACTGGGCTAATGAAGACGGATATACGTATACAATTTCACACACCGTATCTTCTTTATATTATATATTATTACAATCTGATTAAAATACAGATCTATATTTCGTTTCGGTTTTTTTATACTTTCGGTGTAGTAAAGACAAGTAAAACGAAATTTTGAACTATAAAAAACGAAATAAAATAGGATCTGTGTTTTAATCAGCTTGACATCATAAATATATCATTATACTTATTCACATAGAAGATACTCAAATTCTATTTTATTGTTAAACTTTTGACGGCGTTAAGGCCCGGAGCATAAAAGGTCGCGGGTGGGGGTGGGGGCGGCGAATGGTTAGCACGTGCGCGCTGCGCTGTATCAACTGGCGGGGTTTCGAATCCCCGGTTGTACGTGACAAACTAGGATCGCCTGTCCAACCTCGTGGGTTAAATTTTCTCCGGGTCCTCCGGTTTCCTCCCACTGCTAAAGACTCCTACGCGCAAGCGAATTATTGAAATAAAATTGAACCATGTGTTGGTCCCGAAATGACCTAGTTTGTGTCGAGTGGATGTTAAACCCCATTCTCTCTCTCTCCCCTCTCTCTCATAAAAGGTCGGTACCTAAAAGGTCTGACTATTCATTTTATTCGTGCAAACCAGTGAGGTGTGAGGATAGAAATAGAAGATATTAATGTAACCGTCTTAATGCTAGTTTTTTTTTCTCTTTCCAAAGTTCCGTAGTATTCAAACAATTTTGTGGTAACCGAATATTTTTGGCAACTCAATTCTGAGTTTTTATTGTACGGCTGGACAATCGAGCAATTGTTAAACTTCTAACTGGAGAAATGAGTCTACGAGACTATAAACAAACATGGCGGTGATGTGTGAGTTGGCAGTGACTGAATAGGTAATAAAAGTTTCCCGAATTGATTGGAGATTGATCAGGGTTTTATAAAGAACTATTTTAAGGCCCGTAAGTCATAGGTTTAATTCTTCAGATCTCATTGAATATTGCCCATCAAGTTCAGATTATGCCATAATTTATGCTACATGTACTGTCAGCCGAGCTAGACGAAAGGAAGAATATTAATAATTCCAAATCCAAATCCAAATGGTTATTTTAAATTGAATTAAATGAAATTTGGTTTAACATTCTACTTTTATTCACTTACTGAAGACTGGCATTACAGCTTGCTATGAGATAAATTTTGCCTGGACATCAATAGGATTCTGTCAATAGAAGTATATATAAGCTCGGCCGGCTTATTTTCAGATCCCACAGACCTACTTTTATATCAATATTATCATGTAGATCTAGGCCTTAATATTTATTGAATAAGTAGTGTCAGAAAAAAAAATTAAATAGAATTCTGTCAAGGGCTCCATTATATGCAATCAAACGTGTACCGGTACACCAACCTCAGTTATTTTTTTATCCCATCCGCACGACTAGGCACTGTTCTTGTCTTGCTTACCCTGTGTCCTCTATCACTGACAAACCAAAAATTAAATAATAAATGGCAATATGCAACGATTGTGGCACATGTACATATAGATCATTCCGAATCATACTACTGGGAATATCGAGGATGGGTATCAAGACAACTCATCCCAAATACAGCTCATCCCAAGACCACACTCGGCAAACCTTGGCAGATTCCGGTACCCTACATCTAACCTCGGCTTTATGACAGTGATATGTACCTACGCCTATACATTTGCGTTCCGGCACCGGTTTACTTATAAGGGAAACTTGCACGCGTTTAGAAAGAAGTTCTCAAAATTGCGTCGTTCAAAGAGTGTGTAGAATTTTCAGTGCAAATTTGTCCTTGTCTAAAGAAAATCGGATAAACTTGAAAGAAAAACAGCTTCAAACTTTGAAAATTTTGTAAGATAAAACATTCTTCAAATACGTCGTCATCAATCACGTCATTGGTCGTCATGGACAACGCCATTGTAATCCGGGAACTTGAAAGTAGTTCTAATGGCGGACTTTGTCATACAGCCGAGAATAGATGTAGGGTACTGGAATCTGTTGAGGTTTGCCGAGTGCCAAAGACCACTCATCCCAAAAGAAGACAACTCATCCCAAGATAGAAGACCACTCGAACCAAGTTTAGAAGACCACTCATCCCACAATAGCTGTGTGTTTTTTTGTTTTTTTTTAAATACATGGTACTGTTGTAATATATTGCAAAAGAAATGCAGATTGGGCAGCAATACGATTGTGAATTAAAAGCTGAAATGAAATGGGGTTTATCGTCCTACTGTTCTTCTCCGAACTGGGCTAATGAAGACGGGCATATGCCATACAGTGTGCTATGAGGGAAATTTTGCCCGGACAGTGGCACTATGGCCTACTCTTATATCGATTCCAACTGCCAAGGGATCTTTTATGTGCACGCCAATGTGTACACAGGACCTCAGTTTTTCGTCCCATCCGAACGACTAGACAGCTGTCCTTGTCAGGCCCTCCGTCCTGCATCACTGACAAGGGGGAACCACGTCGAAAAATCTGGATGAACTTTCTCGGCCAATGCAGGGATCGAAAACCCGACCTCCAGGCTAGCAAGCCAGCGTCTTACCCACTTAGCCATCGTGATCCCCGAATTAAAAGCTAATTCTTTTGTCTTATTATTGTAGATTTTGGTTTAGAGAATGATGGACAAATAGAAGGTTAACCAAGGAACAGCATCATGTTTGCAATAGCCTCGTACATCACTCCCTTGTTGATGGGATATCTGGATAAATACGTCGAGTTGCGTCAAGAGGATTTCAAGATAAACTTCTGGGAAGGTGACGCCACTTTAAAGACGGTCAAACTACGCACAGACTTCTTCGAGAAACTGCTTCAAATTCCTGTCATATTTAAAAGTGGTCAAATCAAAGAATTGAAGATCTACGTTCCATGGCATAAAATTAATTCTGAGCCGATCGTGATCACGCTGAAAACGGTCGAATGTGTTTTAAAAGTCCGCGACACAGCGTATGATGATCATTCCAGCTCACATTCCAGTGAACAGGTTAAAAAACAATTACAAGCAGCGAAAGCGAAGCAGAAATTAAAACGTCAGGATTCGGAAGTTCTCCCTCCAGGCTACATGCAAGGAATGATCAGTCGTATTTTAAACAATATAACATTAGTCATCGATAATTTAGTTATTAAATTCGTTGAAGATGATATTGTATTGTCCGTTAACGTCATGTCTGCCGAATGCTACCCAGTCGACATTAACTGGAATCGGGCATTCGTTGATTTTAATCCCCCAGAATTCACTTCGCGGAAAGTCCTCAAATTTTGTGATCTAACTGTCTGCATGGATCGAGCAGATGCCAGTGGAAATATCAAATCGTACGAGCAGCCATTGTTGTTTAAATGCATTGTTGCCTGTCGTATCCTTATGACTTACGACAGTCTGAATGCGAAGCTGCCGAAGTTAACACGTTTTAATTTATTTTGTGAAGAATTAAAAGCCACCATCAGTGATAACCAATTACCGATATTTATTCGTTTAATAGAATTATGTATTGCGTTGTATTATGGGGTTATTCATATACCAGTCAGTGAGAAAAAACTTGAACCTGACAAACAGGAAGTGACCCGCAGTAGTGCAGGTATGTATTTATTCGTTTAATAGCGCCATGTATTATGGGGTTATTTATGAGGAAAACTTGAACCAGACAAGAAATCAAAAAGGTCTAAAATGTACACATTATCTCAAGGAAAACGTCTAGCAGTCCAGAATAAAGCTGGGTGTAGATTAGCATAAATGCGCTCTCTATGTTCGACTGTCAGTAGACAAGTAGGGGCAACTCGTTTAGTTGAGCTTACTATATAGAATTAAGAAAGGCGTAGAATTGATATGTACATGTAGGTTTGAAATATTGCATAATCTTAAGGAAATCCAGAATTGTGCATATCGTAAAAGACTTGCGACTTCCGACACATTTTGCTATCACAGGTCACATATACTATATACGTAGTTACACCCCATTTCATTTCCTTTCAATTAAAGGGGCATTATGTCAAATTTGGTCTAAGCCTCGCTTCTCCATTCTTAGATCTACTTAAAATCGCAAACCATCCAATGGAAAGGCGAGTTGATTGTGCTCTTGTATTTTTAATAAATACATTTATATAACATTTTAAGAGCGGCAAGGCCCAAAGAAAGACCTGCAATAGGCAGATTTAGCTC